TCTATGGAAATAATTGAGATGATCCTATCTGAGCTGAGATTTGAGCGACTAAAGTTTACTTTGTTTAAACATAACTTAGTGTAGGTTAGTGCCATCGGTGTTTAGCGAATACTACCGAAGAATAAGCTCACACTCATTTATGACATAATTTGTCATCATTTTGGTTGATTAAGGAGAACAAGACACCTGCCATGTCGACGAATTCTTATCACATACATGTACTTAACTACATAGCTAAAATAACGTCAACACTCAAATAAACTTGCAGGTCTTAGCCCTCATATCGTTGTTTCGCAGATGCTCGAGATTGAGTGTCCTGCTGTGGTCCGAATGGTATACTTTGGTTTGGTATTCATGGAAGTGACTTGATTTGCATTGTACTGTAGCTATACTCTTTGGTTCTTTCGGTAACGTCATATAGGTAGACAAAATAATAGATAATAATTGATCAATAATGTGATCTATTATTTTTCTACCTGCGTGACTTTAACGAAAGAACAAAAGAGTATGGACTCCTGCAGTCACGAAAGCTTCAAATCAAGATTGTACTGTAACTGTTTGAACATAGGACGTAATAAACTTTCGATACGAGTTGTAGTACTGTAAATATTCTTGCAGATGAATAAAACATTATTTTCAATAACTGCTTGTCCGTTTTTATTTTAAAATGTTCATAGCAAAAACGTGTGGAGCCGAGTTTCAGGTGGAGCATCTCCGTCACACAAGTCTGACCTTAACAGGCATCATGTTGGCTGTCTTATCATTAACATGTGTGGTTCAGGAGGGGAAGGTCCCTTTTATAAATCGATTCACAACGTTACGGTCCCTAATCATCAAGTACACAGGGAATCCTGTACGCTATGACATGTGAACTGTAACACTATAAACGATAACACGAAACATTAAAATACTATAAACTAGTTTAACCATTTATAACACCAAAAACAGAGGTACGGTATTATAATCTCATTACAAGTATTATAATTACACTGCGCATATGTATGTTATATGTAGATGCGCATTGGGAGTCGTAAATGCAAACTGGGAGATTCTCGGTTTAGAATATAATCAAAATGAGTATAATAATAACTTGGTCCTATTAGAATCACAGCTGCTGATGTTCGGGTGGCGGCCGTCGATTCGGGCTCTGCTCTTCCATTCTTCGCCAGGATGGTGCCGCGGGACGCAGCATCTCTGAAGGTATTGTTGCTGCTGCTGCAGTTGCTGCTGCTGCAGTTGCTGCTGCTGCAGTTGCTGCTGCTGCAGTTGCTGCTGCTGCAGTTGCTGCTGCTGCAGTTGCTGCTGCTCCAGTTGCTGCTGCTGCAGTTGCTGCTGCTGCAGTTGTTGCTGCTGCAGTTGTTGCTGCTGCAGTTGTTGCTGCTGCTGCAGTTGCTGCTGCTGCTGAAGTTGCTGCTGCTGCTGCTGAAGTTGCTGCTGCTGCTGAAGTTGCTACTGCTGCAGTTGCTGCTGCAGTTGCTGCTGCTGCAGTTGCTGCTGCTGCAGTTGCTGCTGCTTAATATGCTTCCGTTCCAGTGGTGTTCCGTGATGGGATAACAAACTTTGATCAAATACTTTTATCAAACGAGTCATTACAATTGTAACGATTATTTTACATATTCATACTGAATATTGCTATTTGATGCCATTGAGATGGAACATTGATCCTAATACCACCAAAGTGTTTTTCAAATAATTGTAATCCCATCCTGATCCTGCACCTTCCGTTTGGTTCGCACGTCCATATTACATACATACATGTTACACACATACATGTTACATACATACATGTTACATACATACATGATACATGTTATATACATGTTACATGCACATATACTTACTACATACAGACATGTTACATACATGTTACATACTTACGACCGTAGTGTGATTCGAAGAGGACCACGGAGTGATTCGAATAATTCGAATGCGATTCGAATATCACACTTCAAGGTAAATCTATAACACTAGTTAATAATGTTATTGTATAGCGTTATAATATATAGCTCATAGGTTATATTGTTAGAGTTTACTATAACACTAGTTTACAGTATTTTGTATATTCTTCAAATGTATATGTTAATGTTTAATTTATATTGTTGGAATTCATAATGTTAAAGTTCACAGTGTGAGAGTTTACAATGTAACAGTATATCAAAAGGCGTCGATCGATGGCTTCGATCTGGAAGGTTGCATCAGAGTTTTTCATCAAAGGAGTTATTCCATCACGGGACACCAACATGCTGCGTATGTAACAGTAATAGAATGTCCAGATAAATTCTCATCAACAACAATGTCCTTAAATATGATGCTAAAATAAATGTTAACACTGGATTAAACGTGCACCTCTTAACCCCTCCCTCGCATTTACGACTAACAATTTACATTTGCACATAACATACATTCAAGCACAGTGAAATGCTAATACTACCATATTGTTATTCTAAAATTTGAATGCGATTCTTGCCCTGTACCCCCACAGTTCACATATCCGACCCCAGGTTCGTATCATTGAGATGGAATATTCATCCAGCAGTGAAAATCGTGGTTCTATAACGACAAAAATGTGTAATTGTAATGATTTTAATCCGATCCTTGCACGTAGACTATACATACATATGAGCAAAGTGCTATTGTAATAAGACCACACTGTGATTCTACTGCTTATGATGAGATTATAATACCTTGCCTCTGTTTAAATGGTTCTAGATTTAAATACTAGTTTATAGTCGTTTAATGTTTAGTGTTATTCAAATAATTTTAATCCCACCCTGATCCTGCACCTTCCGTTTCACATATAACACCCTTGGTTCGCACGTCCATATTACATACATTTTACATGCATACATGTTACATACATACATATTACATTCATGCATATTACATACTGACATGTTACATACTCACGAGCATAGTGTGATTCTTAGAGGACCACGGTGTGAAGCTAAGAATTCGAATGAGATTCGAATATCACACTTCAATGTACGGTGTTCTAATCTGTAACACTAGTTAATGATGTTATTTTATAGCGTTATAATGTATCGCACATAGCTTATATTGTTAGAGTTCACAATATTATAGTTTACTATAACACTAGTTTGTAGTGTTATTTTAAAGCGTTACAATGTATAGCTCATAGTTTAAAGGTTATATTGTTAGAGTTTATAATGTTAGAGTATACAATGTCAGTTTACAATTTGAGAGTTTGTGGACGTGCCCTGTTCTCGTGGGACCCGACACGGATTTGGAAATAATTGCTATGATCATGTCTGAGCTGGGATGAGCGACTAATGTTTACTTTGTTTAATCATAACTGTGTGTAGGTGAGTGCCATCGGGGCTTAGTGAATACTACTCATGAATGAACTCATACTTCTTTCGGATAGAAATTTGAAATCGTGTTGGTAGAACAAGTCGCTTTCCTTTTCTAGACGAATTGTTATCTTCAAGTGCGTCCGTAAATAAACTGCTAAAATACACAACATAGGGAGGCAGCCTTGTTGGGGAGATGTAGTTTGGCTAAGGCGCTGTGGCCGGGTGATGACACGGATTCTGAAACAATGGAGTTAAACACTCGCTGCTTGGCCCCGTCGACAGCAGCGAAGGCTGTCATATACCGCCCCATTTACGAGTTGGCTGTATGATGTGTATAGTTGAAGGTGCTAGGTGTTGTCTTCTTCTAACAGCTACTAACGTGCGTGTGTTGTCTGTTTTTACGATTTGTCCATTGATGTTGTTTTTTTTATTGCGGCGTTTTTTTGTTAAGTTCTGTCACTTGAGTGTTGCAGTTTGTTTAAGAATTCGTCACGTGAGCGTGGTGTTTTACTTGTGGGAATTTCGCTTTGTCACAATTTGTGATTGTTATAATAATTGTAAAGATTCATAATCTCATGAGTTTTTAATGTGTTTGTGTGTGATTCTTAAACGACCACACTGTGATTCTAATGCTTCTAATGATATTATAATACCTTACCTCCGTTTAAATGGTTATAAATTAAAACACTAGTTTATAATCGTTTAATGTTCAGTGTTATCGTTCATAGTATTACAGTTTACATGTCATAGAGTACAGTTTATCCCCGACATACTTCGGAATTAGAGACTGGTACGTTGATGAACGATTAACTACGGGGACCTTTCCCCTCAATGAACACGTGTTAATCGTGTAGACAGCTAAGATGCTGCGGGTTAAGGGCACACTTGTGTGACGGAGATCCTCCACCTGGAATTCTCTTAACAGGTTTTTGCTAGGAACATTATAAAATAAAGACCGGACAAACATTTGTTAAAGATACGTTTTTATTCATCTGCAATCATTTTTACGTCAAAACTCGAAGGGAATATTTATTAAGTCCTATGTTCACACATTTCCAGTACAATGCAAACCATTTCCGTTCCAGGAATACCAAAACGTTAAAGTATCATTCCCCATGATTTCCTTATTAATTTACCACATTTGTTCACTGTGAGTCCATGTTGAAGTCAAGGCCATATATCCAACGATCGCGTTATCAATGTACATCCTGATATCGGCTATCTAAAGTCGATTAATACCAATCAAAAAAAGCTATATACTTGACAAAAATCGTTTAAAATGTTGAGTAAAGATGTACCTAAAGACGCATTTCAACTTTAGCTCAACAGGAACACTTAACGACTACAATTGAACCCTCTCACAACCAGTGCTCATCACACCACTTCGGCAAGTAATCCGATAACATTACAAACCACCACTGGGCACGTCATTAAACTCTCACAAAAACTGTAAAATTAAAATGTTCAAAATTACACACTAAAGAACTCGATATGGCTTAATAGGTATAGCCACATGACATAATATTTTTTCAGTCACCCCGAACTCTCTGGTTGACCCTCGAGCCACTCCATTACATCCAGCCATCTCTCGGGATCCAACTGCATGGGATCGAAGGTGGAAACTTCTTCAGGACTCATTGCAGCATCTTGAATTTCAGCTTTTGATTTCAGTTTCCTATCATTGTGGACCTTCTGATGCCTGTTCATGGTTGATGACCGTGCAAATGCCTTCCCACACACAGGGCACAGGAATGGCTTCTCGCCCGTGTGTGTTCTCTGATGACTATGAAGAGTTGATGAGTCTGCAAATGCCTTCCCACACACAGGGCACAGGAATGGCTTCTCGCCCGTGTGTGTTCTCTGATGACTATGAAGATTTGATGACTTTGCAAATGTCTTCCCACACACAGGGCACAGGAATGGCTTCTCGCCCGTGTGTGTTCTCTGATGACTATGAAGATGTGATGACTTTGCAAATGTCATCCCACACACAGGGCACGGGAATGGCTTCTCGCCCGTGTGCATTCTCTGATGAGTTTGAAGAGTTGATGACCGTGCAAATGCCTTCCCACACACAGGACACAGGAATGGCTTCTCGCCCGTGTGCGTTCTCTGATGAGTTTGAAGAGTTGATGACCGTGCAAATGCCTTCCCACACATAGGGCACAGGAATGGCTTCTCGCCCGTGTGCGTTCTCTGATGAGTTTGAAGAGTTGACGATTGTGCAAATGCCTTCCCACACACAGAGCAATTGAATGGCTTCTTGTCTCCGTGTGCGTGGGGCTGTGGAGAGCGTCTCTGCTCCATGTGAGCTTAGTAACAGCAGCGGTGTTATCGAGTCAAAAGTACGCTGTCGGCCGCAAGGATGTTTAGCGTTGAGTTTTGGATTTCGTTAACTGCTAAAACAAGAACGACACTCGCGTCGAACCGAGACGCAAAAAAATCCCGCTAATTTGACGACGAACACGTTTAAGAGTTTATCCGCGAAAATAGACACTTACTTGGAGATTCACGGTATATCGATGTCTGGAACCCGTCTGAAGATGTCGCCACGAACTCTCCCGACGCAAAGTCGCCTAACTGTCGACACAGCAATTGTGCTCGCCAGGCTGCGTTGTCTCGCGGTTGAAGGGCGATCAGCAGAGCGACGAGTCGAGCGTCCAACCTCATCAAGTTCCCTCTCGAAATGGCATTGAGCTCTGCTTCTGAGCCGCCTTATAACTCCCCCCCTAGGATCCAATCCTTTGTCTTTCAGGATATTTGCATTCGATTGTTAATTTTTGAAGGCACAATCCGCATGTCTTTTAACATACCGAAGAGTAATGTGCCCATTGTGCTTCATGCATGAATATGTAAGTGCATCTCGGTGTGTAATTATGCGCTTATTTTGAATAAATGGAAAAACTTTGTCCTCGGTTTAAAGTGAATGCAGAGAAATTAGCATGTAACTTTAGAAAAGGAAGAGAGCGGCCTTCTCGACGAGGGAGTGAAACCCAGTAGGTAATATTATTTTACAGCGTTACAATGGATAGGTTGTAGTTCATAGGTTATATTATGTTTCACTATGAAAGAGCTTAACATGTGAGAGTATACAATATCACAGTTGATCAAATGCGACGATCAAGGGCGTCAATCGGGTGAGTTTGATCAGAGGCTTTAATCAAAGGCGTCATCCCATCACGTAACACCACCTTCCTGCGTATATAACAGCAACAGAAGCAACTACAGCAGCAACAACAGTAGCGACAACAACAGCAGCAACATCACATTTCGAGGGCGACGCAGCTACTTCCGATTCTGCTGCCCAGCTGTTTGCAGTCGGGACCTGCTCTCGCAGGACCCCACACGTCTTTGGAAATGATTGCGATGATCATGTCTGAGCTGAGAATTAAGTCACTCAAGATTACTTTGTTTAACCATAACTTTAGGTAGGTTAGTGTCATGAGGGCTGTGTGAATACTACTCATGAATGAAATCACACTCCTGTATGACCAACATTGTACTAATTTTGGTTGATCGAGTAGAACAAGGCACGTGCCACGTCCAGACAAATTCTTCTCAACAACAGTGTCCTTTAATATGATGCTAAAATAAATGTTAACACTGGATTAAACGTGCACCTCGTAACCCCTCCCTCGCATTTACGACAAATGATGTGCATTTGCACATAACATACATTCAAGCACAATAAAATGATAATACGACCATGTCCTGGACACCATGGCAAGGTCATCCCATGAGGACTGCCTGGATGAAAACCAGCATGGAAGGGGCCCATTGTGGGGCCGGCTATGCTAATGACATAGTCCCGTGTGTGTGTGATGTGAGGTCTCCTGGCAGCAGTCATTCTCCGCTGTAGTCCTGGCATCTGCTGCTCAGCTTCATTCCCCAGCTGTGGTCCCAGTGGCACCGTCTCTCTGGGGAACCGTGTGGTGTGTGTAGCGAGTATCACGGGGTGGGCGGGTAGTGTGGTGATAGTGGTCACGGTTGGCACCGATGCACGACCACCGCCACCACCCCTACTGGGCGGTGGACCTGCCACCACAAAGCAGCACGCGGCGGAGGAGTGAGGCGATCGCTCTCGCCACGCGAGCGAGGCCCCCTCGCTTCCTCTTCTTTTCGTGCATCTCCACCTGCACCTCTTCCGTTTTCTCCTCCGTCTCATCCTCCTCCATCCCCTCTTCTTCATCCTCCACCACCATCTTCTCCTCTACCTCCTCTTCCTGCGCCACCTCCATCTTCTCCATCTTCTTCTCCTCCGCTAGCACCATCTCTTCCTCCTTCATCTCCTCCTCACCTTCCGGCACTACCATCTCCACCACCGTCTTCTCTTCCTCCTCTACCACCATTGTTTCCCCTTTGTCCGTCGTCTCCATGTCCTCCACCACGACCATCTGTTCATCCTTTGTTGTCTCCTTGTCCTCCATCTCTGTATTGTCTTTCTCCTCTCCCTCCGTGTTCTCCTCCATTGTCACCATCACAATCTCGTCCTCCTTTGCCTTCTCTTCCTCCGATTTCTCCTCCTCTGTCTCTACCTCATCCTCCATCATCTCCTCCTTCACCTCTTGCTTCGTCTGCTTCCCCACAAACTCTGTCTTCGCTCCAAAGGCCTGGATGAGTGAGGAGGAGGGCTGCGCTGGCTCAGATCTGTGAAGCGACAACACGACACCGTTCTAGATTTGAAGCTTTCGTGACTGCAATGATTCATATTCTTAGGTTTTTTCGGTAAAGTCACGTAGGTAAAAAACATTAAAAAGTAAAATAAAATAAAAATCACGACGTTTCGGAGGCAACACAAGCTTCCGTCTTAAGGTGGTACCGTCACAGCCACGACAGCTGTATCAAGTAAATGAGAGATTGCAGAAGCTACCACTCCGTTTATATAATGGTTGGAGAAGGTGGTGGGGCAAGGGCCACATACTTTTATTAATATGGTAAGGTGAGGCTTAAGACTAAGAATAGACTGCATAACAAAGACTGAGCCTTTGTTATAGAGAGGTGCGGTTTGTGACTCAACCTGTAACAGGGAGACCACCACTAGACATGGTAAAACTGTGATGGTTGTCTGTCAAACACGACACCGTTCCACCTTGCTGCTATGGCAGACATCGCCATCTAATAATAATAGTACAATTTGTAACGCGCGCAAGACGTAGTGGCCGCAACTCAGAGGCGCGGAGCCAAGCTCAGAGTCGCTCAAAAGCATGATTGTAGAGGTGAGTTTTTAAGTGTCTCTTGAAGGAGGTGATTGAGGTGATGCTGCGAATGTGCAGAGGGATATCGTTCCAGACTGTTGGGGCTGCCACCGAGAAGCGGCGCATAGACACGATGACCATCCTGGATCTTGGTATCGAGAGGAGGTCGTGAGTCGCGCTGCGCAGGCATCTGCCGTGTGCTGAGCTGCAAGTTGTCAATAATGAAGAAAGGTACGGCGGGCAGGCGGATATGAAGGCATCGTCCGTGGGTGGAATGTGTGGCGGATTAATTCGAGCTGAATAGAAACAGCAATAACGACATTGCTAGTGAGTGTGCTTAGTATTGGTGCTGTCATTCTCATGGCGCCAGGCTATCCTTGGGATAGGTGCAGCTGTGTCCCACACAGACTGCTGTAGTTTCACAGTAGTGGGTGGCGTTGCTGTGCAAATTTAGCTGAATAATTTGGTTCTTTCGGTAATTCACGTAGGTATAAAATAAAATAAATTAAATCACAACGTTTAGATTGTAACACAAGCAATCATCATAAGGTGGGAAACCCACAGCAATACATTTTCTTGCAATAAAGACATGGCCATCGAAACGTCGTGATTTAATTAAATTTATTTTATTTCATACCTACGTGAATTTACCGATATAACCAAAGAGTATGGATCCCTGTAGTCACGAAAAAAATCTAGATTGAAACTTTCTATATGTATATTCTAATTGACCCCTTGCACATAATGTCCTAAGCATTTCAAATGGCATCGATAGAGATCCTGAACGTCCACTGTGACGGAATGGGTGTGTATCTGTGTGGTCAATGCAGCAGCAATAATAGCCAAGGCGGGAAGCAAGATCTGAACTGTAATGGTGAAGAATGAGTGCACGGCCATTTGGTCGCTTCAACACATCCACGATTTTAAAAAAGTATCCGTCAGTGATTCGTGGTCGAGAGAGCCACCTCCCTGGACGTCGAAGGCATCTCAGAGTGCATTGCATGCGATGAGCCTCTCGCATCTCTCATCTCATCGCGTTTTAAATTGGACACCCCTCTCAGTGGTAGCTGTCGCTGTGCATTACAAAGCGACTTGGCAACTGGCCTGGAAACAGGCGATAGACAGCGAAAATCTCACGGTGGATGGAGGGTTACATGGTGAAGATATGCCCACTTTGTTATGTGGTCTAACTCAGAAACCAGTTACGAAAAATAAATCTGTCCACAGTATAGCGGAATGTACACGTGGAGTTTGCAGTGTCAGTGAATTTTGAGAGCGTGACAGGGCTTGAGCACCTGTGCATCACAGCGACATTGACCTGGGTTTGATTTCCACGTTTGGCCACATTCTCCGTGTGGATTATGCAGCCAGCTGTTCAGGGAAAGTTATGCAGCTTTCTCCCTGTTACTGAACCCACACAAGCAATGCAAATCGTTCAATTTGGATCGCAAACTGTAGCAACTTTCTTGCAAAATGCGAGCAAACTTGGCAGAATCCTCCTGAAAAAAAGTCTTGAGACCGAGTAAGGCTGATGCTGCGTGAGAAGCATGGTAATACATAACAAAAATAAACACACAGGGCGCACACGCAGAGTGCTTTACCGTGGCTCAATGACTCCGGAGTTTGCTTTATCTTCTTGGAAGCCCTCTTCTCCAAAGCTCGGAGCGATTGGGCCCCACACAGGATTGGAGGACGTGGTGGCGGTGGCGGCGGTGGCGATGTCAGTAGTAGTGGTGCTGCTGCTGGTGGTATCGGTCTGGAGCCATTGTCGCTCGATCTTGGCGAGGCGCTCCTCCTCCTCGAGGCGCTTTTGCTCCACAAGACGCTTCTCCTCCATCAAGTGCTCCTCCTCCTCTTGACGCTTCACCTCAACGAGGCGCTTCTCCTGCATGAGACGTTTCTCCTCGAGGAGCTTCACCTTGCGAAAGCGCCTCTCCTCAAGTCGCTTATTTTTTTTCTCAAGACGCTTCAGCTCTATGAGACGCTTCACCTCAAAGAGGCGATTCTCCTCCATGAGGCGCTTCTCTTCCTCGACTC